ATTAATAAATTTCAGACTGGTTCTTTTATGTATAGATGCTTTGACAAGTCCTCAATTTTCCCGCAACATTTTAGGAATTACTTCATCCTTAACAAGGACATTCACTCTTACGAGACGCGGAATGCCAACAGAGTTCATATCAACCAAGTCAGAACAACAACAAGAAAACAAACTCTTAAACACAGTGGATCATTGTTTTGGAACTCACTAGATAAATATATAACCGAAGCTGCTACGTTATTTATTTTTCAGGCTAGACTAAGGTCCCATATTCACGACTTCCTGTCATCAATAATAAGTGTTGCGGTACAGTTCAAGCGAGAAGCTGGATCATATTTCACTTCCAAGGAAAGGACTCCACACGCGCCTGGCTTGCGAAGTCGAGCACGCATCGCCGTAGAAACATATATGTCTTCCCAATTCTACACCGACTGATCGATCAAACGATACCAAATGAACGATATGGTTGTTTATGGTTTAAGTGTATCCTGTCCGATTTTCGAAACAAAGGAATTATTTTTTAACGGGATGCTTCGATTTTGCTAACTCACAAGTGTGTATAAACAATAGTGTTATCTTGACTGTGAAAGCACAGGATTAAAACCCGTTATGGACTGTAAAATTCCTTCATTTACATTGCTGAAACTCAACGACCAAGAACGAGTATGTCAAAGACTCGAAGAATAGCTATCTGTTAGGGACTGCTCATTATTTATTGTACAGGGTGAGATCGACTGAGAAGAAACTCTACAGTTCAATATTTTTTCGTTGCCCCCCTCTTAAGACAACGAACATTTTCAAAGACCCCCCCCCCCCTAAGGCAAAACAAGAACATAAATTTTGGTCCCCCCTCTAGCTCTTTATCTTTATTTAGAGAAACAAAAACTCTAGTTCTCTATTTTGAGAAACAAAAATAATTGGGACCAATGGACAAATCCCCATTATAGACTAATTTTTTATCTTAGCAAAAAAAGTATATTCCCGGGAAGGGCATTCTAAAATTAGTAAAATTGCAAAGTTTGGTTGCGAAATGTTGTAAAATGTAAAAAACATAGTCTTCCAAAATTTGCAAATTTTGTATACTTTTGTATTGCAATTTTCGCATGCAATACAGAAGTATACAAAATTTGCAAACTTTGCAAGGCTATATTTTCCGTATTTTACAACAGTTCGCAACCAAACATTGCAATAATTTACTTATTTTAGTATGATCTTTCTTGCTTTGGTGATTGATTTGCATCAAGGCCGGATTTTGTGGAGAAGTGCGCACCACCCCTGAGATCGTTTTGCACCTCCTCTGAGAATTTTTGAACCTCTCCTGAAAGGTCATGCACCTCCCCTTGGGAAAGTTTCGATGATGGAACAAAGTGAAAATGTGATGTTGCTTAGGATCTACACTTCGTGACATAAGAAAGTTTTCTCTGAAAAATTGAAACAGAGATAGCCATTCATTTCTGTGTCAAGTACCCTTTTAATGCAATGTTTTGAAAGAAACTTTGTAGCAATTGTAATGATTAGGGGAAGATTGGAGTCATACATTCATACTTCATTAATACACTGCTACATATGTACACTACATGCATACCTCACCTCATTGATATTGGCCTGTCTACAATAAGTCCTAACTTTCCATGGGGGTTGTGAACTAGACCGCTGCACCTCCCCTAACATTTTATTTCCACACCCCCCCCCCACACACTATTTTCACAAAAATCCGGCCTGGATTTGCATCTCTTTGCCTAGTTCTAAAATGGGAATGGTCTATTTACATGAACATAAGAGACTTTTTAGATGGCTTCCATTTATGAATATTAAAGGTCTGTAAACATTGTTATTTGTTGTTAAGTTGCTTTGTGATACATTTTTAAAACTTACTATTGTTTTTTTCAAACTGCTAAATCTTTTCAAAGCCCCGGTCCCCCTTTTTTAATCTCTCTGTATTTTTTTCAAAGCCCCCCTTGTCAAGTTTTAAAAATTTAAGGCCCCCTAGTTTCTCCTCAATCCCCCCCCTGTACAATAAATAATGAGCGGTCCCTTATCACACGAACGCCAAGACTCCTCCGTGCGTTTCCGTGCGTGCGTTACATACAACTGGAATATTTAGGACGATATACGCACCAGCACACGGAGCACGGAACACATGAAGTACGGAGCAGTAGAAAAACAAAAATCCTTTATAATAAAATACACTGTTTACTATTACAAATTTTTGTTATTATTAACAAAGTTTTTCCGCGTATTACACGTTGGGGAAGTAGGAAAATGGGGCTTTTACTGAAAACATGCATATGATGCAAAACTGCCAAAAGCCATTAAGCCATAGTATTTAAATAGCATTGGGAAACTCGTTATCTTACATCTATCAAGCTTATGTAGTTATATTATATTCCGATTGCCAACGCATAAAGAAACACTTACTGTAGAGAACAGCCGATATATTTCGTTACCCCTGCCAAAAAATAGCCAAGTACTCATCTTTCAATGTAGCGGATCGACTGATCATTAAAGCTTGTGATGGAGAGAAGTGAATTTTCGGTTTATCCTTCGGCTCAGTGGCAGTGACAGTGTGCTGTACGGCCTACGTTTAAACCGTTTTACAGTACATAATTACTGCTTTGAATTCACATTCTTTCAATCCGTTTTGAATAGTCGGAATCATTCACAATATTATACTGTAGACGATCCGAAAACCTATTCACCCCCCCACCCTTAACTAAACATACAATTCGGTGTAAGGTTTAAAAATTGACGTGTATTATACTATTATTCTGTATATAATTTAGGTAAACTCTAAAAGAAAAGCCGAACAGCTGCATATGACATTCGGTTAAAAAATTAGAACGCTGACTTTTTCGCCTTCTCCCTAAATAATAGCTCGAATAATAGTGCATTTCGATATGCGTGCGTACTCGACCAAATATTTGGGAATGTATGCTTTTTACACGTACTCGACTTCAAAAGACAGTAAACGGCTGTACGATTTGTTAGCTTACTGGACCAAAAGCAAACGGCTGTACGCATTATTGTAACGCATATTTTGTGTACTCTATCTAGTTTAGGCTATAGTCAAAATATCCATCACATGTATCTAAAGACTAAACTATCAAACTTTATAATTCAATCGGAATCGAAATACTGGTCTACATGCGGCTGCCGGGCAGTATTTTCAAAACACTACGTGCTCGGCAGTCAGGAAACACGTACAGCACACTGGGTCGAAGGATAAACCGAAAATTCACTTCTCTCTATCACAAGCTTTTATGTTCAGTCGATCCCGGCTACATTGATAGATGAGTACTTGGCTATTTTTGGCAGGGGTAACGAAATATATAGGCTGTTCTCTACAGTAAGTGTTACTTTATGCGTTGGCCAACGGAATATCCGAATATAATATAACTACATAAGCTTGATAGATGTAATTAGATAACGAGTTTCACAATCCTATTTTAAATACTATGAGTTTTGGCAGTTTTGCATCATATGTGTTTTTCAGTAAAAGCCTCATTTTCCTACTTCCCCAACGTGTAATACGCGAAAAAATTTGGTAATAATAACAACAATTTGTAATAGTAGACAGTGTATTTTATTATAAAGGCTTTTCGTTTTTCTACTGCTCCGTACTTCATGTGCTCCGTGCTCCGTGTGCTCCGTACTCCGTGTGCTCCGTGCTCCGTGTGCTCCGTGCTCCGTGTTTTACTAATAGCCCTTGTAATCTAGAGTAGGTACATTTTAAATCTTATAAAGACCTTTCATTGGCATTGCTTTTGCCCATTCAGGGCTTTATTTGAAGAATAACCCGGCTTAAGATGCAGTTTCTTTCGACTTGTATAATGCCGCTGTGAGTAATCAATAATCAATATTTAAATCAACTTTAATCTTTGTAGTATACTGTTATGGCATTACCAAACCATACTGGAGGCAAACAACCTATCTATCAATGGAAACTTTACAGTAGAAGGCTTAAGTAATTCTATGAGCTAGACTTCGTGCGCATATAAATCTTATGAATTATGTATATAATATCCCTGATAAAACGTGGGGACACTTTATGCCAAATTATATAATAAAAAATAATTTGCTAAACCTTTTTGGCTATCATTCCTTTAGCTTTGCATTCAAGGGGCGAGGGTGAATGACGATATAATTCTTATAGGAGATTCTGTGCAATATTTTGACTTGAACATACAGATACTCGTGCAGACAAAAAAGGATATGCATATATAGCCTACAGTTGTGAATTATCTGTACTGTCCATCGACAAACAATTTTGTGCGTGAACACTCCTTCCTACATGGTGTTTAATTAATATAAATATAAAGAATGATAACCTTTTTAAAAAAATCTAGAGCACTATGTCAGTATGTCTACAGTTTTGTTATTTTTAGAATCAATAGCCAATAGAATGGAGATTCAATGTCTATTTGGTTCCAAAATCGTGTCATAAATCGAAATGTGTAACGTTTGCTTTAAGACCAGCAAGGCGCTACGACCTACACACGCTTTTGATACCTTTGTTTAACAAAATTTACACAGTTTCCAATAATTAAATGCAATGACAATGGCATATATAAATATCTGAACCGGAGACAGACCAGAAACGTACGCCTGTAATGAAACAGCGCCAGAACCCCGAGAGAATAAAAGAGCAAGTATTTCAAAGCTACGATCATACGTTTTCGTTGCTTGATTTCCTGACTTGTCTGTTGCCGTGAGAATCTACAGTTTAGCATATTTGTATAATTTAAAAGAAACTAAACAGAAACCAATTTAGCAAGTATTTTGAAGTATATATGATTCTCAATGATGATTGTACAAAACGGCCACTCCTTCCAATCGAAGTGTGAAGTGCGGAAGTGGAAACATGTAATAATAGACTTTTCCATCCCCCTCTCAGGCTATCAATTTTCTATGGGTCACGTGACCTGCCCCGACCAGGGTCTGTCCTCAAAAAGAGGAAAGAGCCTGGGAACGAGGTTGGGTCACTGGATGGTATTTCAGTTTATTTCAGCACACTGGTGGACATGCAACCTAATACCTGCAACCTGTGTCACAGATGGGCGACGGCTACGACTTTTCAGCGTCAGTACGGGATGGCGTAAGCATACAGCATGCGTTTAGCTTGACGAATCTCGTAGTCGTAGTCGTACTCGTAGTCAAATTTAAAGCTCCCTATTTATCCCCGAGCCGACGGCGAGAAGCGCCGTGCGAGGGTACTAATTCCCCCCGGCTATTTACACCCGGGGAAACGAAAGCATTAGCGAAGTCTAAAGTTCATCAAACATCGCGGGCGTGGGTCACTGTGCGTGTTTCGGTGGGTGGTCATCCTCACTGATCTCATAATATAGAGGACTGTAATGAATAGGCAACACTGATTGGTCCAATTTAAAATTGGCATTATAACGGCTGCATGACGATTGACGACAGCGAAATTGATTTGATGATTTCTTGCAAATATATTTCATTTTTGCAAGATTTTGTAAATTGCAAAGGATTTTTGATGAAATAAAGGCAAGAGGATTGCTAAAAGAAGGAAGTAAATGTGCCGACGTTAACGAAGGTAAGTTTGTTTTAAATATTGATGCATTGTTTGCTTTTAATATACTGTAATCTCGGCTGTAATTACTTTAAAAGACGATCGTTGCGTATATAAAATATGAAACAAGACAGCGTATTATTTCAGTGTTTCTTTATTGATTACACTTTTTATTATACTAGGCAAAGTTATTTACATGGGAGAATTTGGAATCATTTTATTTCGAACTCAAAGTTTATCGATAAAGGCAGTTAAGTTTTATATTAAAAGAACACTTTCAAACGTTTTGCGAAGCGTTTGTGGTTGAATTTTACCTTAAATTGAATCTTATATTACGTATAATAACATACCTACTGTAATTACTTTAAAAGCCGATCGTTGTGTATAAATATGAAACAAGACAGCGTATTATTTCAGTATTTCTTTATTGATTACACTTTTTATTATACTAAGCAAAGTTATTTGCATGGGAGAATTCGGAATCATTTTATTTCGAACTCAAAGTTTATCGATAAAGGCAGTTTAGTTCTATAGTAAAAGAACATTTTAAAACGTTTTGCGAAGCGTTTGTGGTTGAATTTTACCTTAAATTCAATGTTATATTTCGTATAATAACATACCTAACATATATATGTTTAGGAAATTGATAATTTTGTAATTAAAAGTGATATTTATTGGGGATTTTTCATTTGTAAAATATAGTCTTAAAAAATTATCGTGTTACCATGACAACAACTTAAAATACTCCACGTTCGGAAAATAAAATGGTTTTGTCAGCAAGGCGAGGGTTTCGGCATGCATGTATTTTCTAGTATAGTTTTACACTGTACTGGTAAAATAATGTCAAGGAATTTGTAGAGATTCAGAATGCACACTCCATGGTTTATTCAATCACCAGCATGCATGAATCATTTTATGTTATGAATATTTTTAAAAAATTATCCTCACTTTATAGATAATTATATATCAATTTTCAATATCATAAATGAATATATAGTTACAGTAGGTTTTGATTATACAAGTTATAAAAATATATCAGCAAATAATGACTGGTCTCTCCGAAATCCGTAAAGAAAGGTTCAAATTTGACTTCCGCTACCACTACTTGATCTGGCAGTTGCATCTGGTTGTTTGATTGGATAAATTAAACTTATCTGTTTAATAGTTAGTGATAGCAATGGTAGTAGTGGAAGTCAAATCTGATCTCTCTATTATTTTCTGAAGATTTCTTTAGTCACTTCAATTCAGGATTGCCCATGCAACTTGGTTAGCGCAGCTAGCTCTTCAAGTTGGAGGTCAAATTCTTAGGATTCTGCAAATTAATTCTAGAAAACTGGCTTTGGTTTGGGCTAAGCAAAAATTATCGCACTCTTTACATATTTATCATGCTGATTTGGTTGTTTAACAGTTAATGTCCAGGCTGCATGTCTTTTTGTCCTGCATATGGCAGATGGGACAGTCCGATTTCCAAGTGTTTATGTGGGGAATTAATATTAATCCTGGCTTCTGAGTGAAGGTCTTGCCTGCTTTATGCGAAAGCAGGCTCTATGCGAGGGCTCTCAGGGCTCTTCCTCTGAAACAATGCTTGTTTACCATATCATCCAGCAAGTGCAAAAATGCACTACCGCGGTCAAGGATCATTTGGCATGTTCATCGACTATGTTAACCCATTGAGTGGCAGCATCACTGTCCACCTGAAGACTAAAATTGTCCGGCGTTAGACAGAGCAAACTAACAAAGTACGGTGCATTGTCACTTAAAGCGTTAAAAACGTAAATACGACAGCACAACACCTGTACATATACAACAGCAATCCTTTTATATATTTAATGACTTTATATTTACATATTGGTGAAATATCAAAGTCCATATATTAGGGATGTCCATGAACTTGTCCCTAGTTTGAATCTCAAGTATTCATATCTTTTGTATAAGTTGTTCCTCTACAAACCAACTTTTAGTCATTATACAAGAGTTTAATTTGCATTCATTTACTTCGCAAGTCGCAACAAACTGAACAAAGTACCAAACCATAAACCTGTGCAAATGATCGAGCGTCTTGAGCGACATATGATATCCAAGTCTGTTAAACGTCTCATACGAACAAATCTCACTGTGTTTTTCTACAGAAAGTATTGATCCATTTGATCGATCGCCGTGCTTTGAGAAAATCTTGAAATGCAAAATTCACACGGAAGATTGAAGAATTTCGGTGATAAAAACTGTGTGTCTTCGAGTTTCACATCTAGCATTCACCCCCCGGTTGATAAAAGTAACAATTACGCAATGTTGGAGTCACGTGCCCAGCGTTTACCAGGGCTACGCCGCCGCCTTCAATTCGCGGCTAGCTCTGGGTACGAGGTTGATACACGGGGAGGGGCTTATATTCGAGGGGGAGGCTTATATGTTCGGAAGTTTGCGGTAAATCAAAACTTTTAATGCCCGTATCCCTCGATAAATATTTTTTTTGTTTCCCCTCCAATCTCAATGTTTCCCTCGATTCAGTCTCCGGAAACATTGACACTCTGGTTAAAGAGCAAAACTAATTAAAACTAATTATTTCTGTCGGGAGCAGACATGAAGTGTGTAATGATGGTTATGAAATTGCTCTTTACTCCCTCATCTTTTCCAATGAAGTGTTTACGACAAATGAATACACCGCAATCAATAACGGCATTAATATATTAAGGTTAATTTATTGTTGTATTTCAACAGCCAAATAAATTTGTGCTACAATGAAGAGTTCACAACAATAATTATCCTTACTTGCCTGCAGGTTTTACCAATGGTCATATTATTCATTGTTGCATTTGCAATGGCATTCTCCGTGCTGATGTCCCATGATCAAGGCTTTACTGATATCCCCAATTCACTGCTAACAACGTTTGTCATGATGACTGGTGAAGTTGATTTTCGAGATACTTTCTTGGAATACACTGCGAGTGCTGGTTTTCATTTCCTACAAAGATTGACGCTGGTTGTGTTCTTGATCTTGGTTACCATCGGTTTAACAAACTTATTGACTGGTTTGGCTGTTGGCGACACTGCTGAGATTATGAAACGATCGAGAGAGGAAAATCTGCTGCGTAAGGTAAGAATTATTAATATATTTTATTTGTGTATAGCCAGTTTTTTTTGTGATTTCCTGCAGTTTGATTGGCTATTCAAACGGGCAGATTTTTACGTTAGTTAGTTCGAGGGCGGGGGAGTTTTTAGAGCAACAAACCTAGTATTGCAGACAATTTTTACTTTGGGGTGTTATATATACTTCGCTTAATTTCAAAAGTTCCAATTTCAAAAAGAAAATAACAAAGTAAATACATATAATTCCAACGTTTAATAGTAAAGGAATAACAGTCTTACACAGTTCCTCATAAAAGCAAATAAAGGTTCATAAGGCAAAGTCAGAAACTTAGTACGGCTAACATATTAATGTAATATTAACACATAAATATGAATATATATGCAGTTTAATCCTTTGAATCTAACCTCGCAGAGTTATGCAAGTCTGATACGTTCAATTCAACAAATTATTGTTTAAGGTGGCTCAATACAGTTTTTAGAAAAATGGAAAATTCACGATTTAGATGCATATTTTTGGACAATTATTACTTGTTGATAAACAAAAGGTATCTTACTTATTATAAAACATCCTCCAAAGAGTTTGAACTTTTGTATATAAGTTATGCAACTGCCGTTGCTATGGCAACGATGACGTTTCAAGATGGCGGATATTTTGGCTTTAAAGTAATTTAACTCGTAAACGACATCGGTGACCCCCAAATTTCATTTTTAAAAATGATTTATCTTAGTATAATCAATTATTTTGACATTCGGCTCCACAGAATTTTTTTTTATTTTGCCAACGTAATTCAATATACTAAGACAAACTATTTTATGAAATAAAATATGGGGGTCACCGATGTCGTTTTCGAGTTAAATTACTTTAAAACCAAAATATACGCCATATCGAAACGTCATTGTTGCCATAGCAACCGCAGTTGCGTAAATTTAGTTCAAAAATTCAAACTCTTTGGATGCTGTTTTTCGTAGGTTAATTAGATTTAATTAGATGTTTTTTGTTTTTGAACAAGTAATACTTGTCCAAACTGAAAAACGCATCTAAATCGCAAATTTTCCATTTTTAAAAAGCTGTATTGAGCCACCTTAAAATTTAAAAATTCAAACGGCATTACCTAGTTGCCATACACCTCATAATATCTTGAAATAGACGACAAGAATTCAATATATCAGCTTGATAGTTTTGGCCAAGATAATTTTCTTCAATCCCCGCTCAAAAAGTCACGCGTGGATACAAATTTTGAATGCAGAATTTATCTGCTTGAAATATTATCCACTAAGCACCAGTAAGCCTTCCTTATCGTCATTCCAAATAACAATCCAACCTTTTCGAAATCTAGCTATGTCGTTCATTTCGAGAAAAGAAGATATTTTAATGTTAAACTTGTAAATACACCTTTTTAAACTTGCATTGTGTGATTATTAATATGTCTACTAGTGGGCAACGATAAAAAGGTGCTGTTTTCCGAATCAAAACATCCCATTTAATCTGGAACACCTGAGCAGCACCTTTTGAAAGAACCAGAACAGCTCCCTTTGAAAGAACCAACGAAAACAGCCCCTTTTGAAAGAGCCAAAACGGCCCCTTTTGAAAGCACCAAAACAAGCCCTTTTGAAAGGGGCAAAACAGCCCTTTTTGAAAGAACCAAAACAGCCCCTTTTGAAAGAGCCAAAACAACCCCACATATCAGCTAAATTGGCCCTTTTTTGGGAGATATATGTAAATGAATGTACAACAATCAACAAAATCCACTAGGCATCTTTATTACTAAATAGTTTCGTATCACAAAATGTGGCACTCTTCAGATAAATTGACCTAGTGATTATAGACTGAAACTAGATGATGAAAGATGCCTAGTGGATTTTGTTGTTTGTTGTACCTTAATTTAAATATACTCGGGTTTCCCACTGAATCAAGCATTCATTCAAGCAAATATATATTGCTGGAAAAACAAGTATTAACGTGTATTTATATCTTTCGGACTACTGGAGTGGAAAAAAATTAAAAAAGATTGAGTTGTCACGCAAAATTAAACTCAGTGTAATTAAAACCCTTGAGACGATACCAGCTAACATTACAAAGTTAGTGAACATTGACAAAATAAACTTTGTCTCCCCCTAGCTCCCCCCCCCCCAGTTCAATGTTGTAAACAACGCCGAAACAACTTTTGATAATATAATACACCATGGCACAAGGCAGCTCAACATTGAGTTGAGGGGGGGGGGGCTTAAGAAGGGCAACATGATTCAAAATTGAGTTTATCAACAAAATATGTGAATTTTCTATATATAGAAGGAACATAGTCTCAACCAGTTTTGTCCAAGATTGTCGGAATGTGCAATGTGGCAATTTTACATGAATGCCAATTGTTTGACAGTTATGGTTAAAAAGGCAGATATGTGAGTGTTGCGATGGAGGAAAAATTAATAAATTAACGTTAACATTGAAGTTAATTATTATATTAACGTTACACTACAAGTACAGTAGGTAACCGAAATTTTTATCCACATTACCAATCATTCCAGGCGATGAAAAATTTATATTTATACTGTAAGTAAAGGAAAATTAATTAAGGTCGAGGTCATATATATACATCTGCATGAAAGTATACTATTTATTGGACTTTCGGTAAACGTAATTTCTACATTATTCCATAGCCTATAATCATTGAAAGCTTTGTATAATGAATGTAAAAAAATCCAACAATATAAACGTAGCCTAATTGGTCAAACGTGATAACACGGTTTGCTCAGAAAACGGCGGCTATTCACTCTAAACTGCGAACGTTCTCCGGGCAATTGGAACCAATTAGCTATTGCTATATAGAACATAGCTACAAAGTTTAATTAAGAAGAAATGGAATCATGGACATATTAAACGTTGTCGACACAGCCAATTTCATGGCAATGGGTCACTTTTCACAGGTTATTATATAGTATGGCGACCCCTCACGAGGGACAAATGCAGGGCCGTAGCTAGCATGTATAGTTGGGGGGGGGGGCGGGGTGGGTCGAGCAAAAATTTCCGAATGACGAACAAAATTTCCGAATCTTTCATGGCATAGGAAGCCACAAAGTTGTTCAGGGCCGTTGCGAGGACTTTGCCTGTGCACCCCATCATGTACCCCAGGCCACGACCGTCTGAACTTCTTTAATTAATTAGTTGGCCGATTTGAAATATTACTTCTGATTCATAGCACACAGTTCCTATTTTTATGCCCGGATAAAATCTGCTGGAAATTTATCTGAAATTACTCATGAGCAATTGTTGTGGGTTGTTGTCGGTTTCTTGAGAGAATTGAGTTAAGTATTGTCCAACTACAAACAAAAATACGCGTATTCTACGCATAGACATATTACAGAAGTAATAAACCGAAAAACATTTACCGATGTACGATTTGTAAATTCTTATATATATATATATATCCATGTAAATGCCATGATTTCGTAAATCATTTCATACTGACAATACAATTCTATAATATTATTACTGTTTAACAACTAAAATTTTGTTATTCTATTATTGCCGTAATTCTCCGAATGGCCAACCCGATTTTCCGAATATGTTAATTCTGAATATATATTCCGAATATATATATATATATATATATATATATATATATATATATATATATATATATATATATATATATATATATATATATATACATATATATATATATACTGTATATATATACTGTATATAATATGTTAAGATGAAATGTTCTAGAGTGTGTATTATATAATTTCCATACCCTGCCGCGGCTGGGTCTTGAACCCGCGACCTTCGAAATAATTAATAACACAATTTAACATAACACTTGCAGAACTAGTATTGTTCGATGCTGAATTAATATAAACGAGTATGTTTATGACATTCAGTATATATTTCATAATTTCCAGTCTTAAATCCGTCTGACTGTGTAGCTCAGTTGGTAGAGCGTCGATCTAGTAATTCGAAGGTCGCGGGTTCAAGACCCAGCCGCGGCAGACTTTATCTTTCTGCTTACGCTGGGTATGGAAGTTATATAATACACACTCGAGAACATTTTCATCTTATCTTATATATATTTATATTTATATATATATATATATATATATATATATATATATATATATATATATATATATATATATATATATATATATATATATATATATATATATGTCGCACGAGTCATGATGGCGGATGGTCATGCTAAGGCTAGCTCCATAGATATTCCCAATACTAAATTTAATGTTGGAAATGTGAATTTGGACGATATTCGAACGTATAAAAACAACACTCTTGTCTATGATGGGAAACGTTTAAAGTGGAACGGCAACTATGATGAACTGGAGAGTTTTATTCAAAATACCGTTGGTTTGAGCGGTAAATGGATTTCACCTGGCGGGAACTCTAAGAAGTTTATAAGCAACTCAGATCTGACAATAACTTGGTATCGCGGCAAACAACGAACATTAGTTGTCCAAGGTAGCGAAAAGGAGTCTTTAAAGGAATTACTGGTAAGCCTAAATAGTGAACTTATGTTGCCCCATCAGAGTGACACAGGCGTACAGTCTGCCGAAGTCTCAGTAATAACTTGCACCGGTGATAGAAGCGAAGTAAGCAACCTAACAACCGAGAATAATGATTATGGAGCCGAGATTCCTGTCGCCAAAATAGATATAATATCACCTATTGATAATTCGTCGCTTGCGGAGCTTGAGAATTTTATTGACGATTCATTTTGTAATATTATGAACTCCCGACACAGTGAAGTAACGAAGGGTACTGTGGAACAAGTATTTGTAAATTCTACCCCCTTTAAACAACGCGAGAGCGACAACGCCACTACAAAAAATGCATTATTTGACAATTTTAAAGAGAAGGTTGAATATGAAATATCAAATTTATTGGCTAAACTCACCAAGCAAGACAAAACTATCAACATAAATAAGCAAGATATATGCAAA